GTTGTGTAGAGAATAAACGACATATTTAGGCTTTTTTTTTTTTTTAAACACTCTATATACTGCGGTTGCAATCATCACATCATTTGATACGCTGAGTGTCGCTAGCTTCGACTTAGTTTAGCTCGCAGTGCTGCACAGGAGTGACTAACGCGCGCGCTGTCGCTGGCATGGCGAACGTGTTTCGAGCTCTTCAGCTCGTCTCGTGCCACTTAAACCTGAACCACACAAACTTTCACCTGTTTAGGATTGTCGGTATCCTCAGCTTCGAGCAAACAGAAACTGCGAGCACACACAGACGAGAGTATGGCGGCCTGAACGGACACAAAAGCGTCGCAGCAGTCATTGGGTGGACAATGCGGTCAGATAATAACCGAGCCGGGTTCACTGAGCGGTTCTCACGCCAGGTGGCGCTCTGCGGCTCAGGAACACAACTCTCAGGCGCATCAGTTATCAAAATGATTTTTTTTTGCGTCTCTTTAAGATACTTGTATCCTAAAACTAATAGTTATTTAATTGTATAAATGTAAATACTTGGCATGCATAGTAGTACGTGGCGCAGAAATGCATATAGAGCTATTAAATATTTATCTTTTTTTTTATCCAGTAATCACAATGACTGTGATTTATGGAGGGCGAAACCTGCGAAAACAATAAATACACAAATAAATAAATGTGTGCATAAATACACGTATTCTTGTTTAAATAATGTGATGAAAGTAGGCAAATAAATTAAATAAATTGGTGGGCAAATGGAAAATGTTTAAGGAAATGCTAAACTCATCCTAACTAAAAAGTAGATTTTCGCCATATGGGGTCTTACTTAGTGACCTATGCTACACAATTAATGTGCATGCATGCTATGATAAAAACTGTCAGACAAAATGATAGCGTTTTCTTTATCATAAACAAGGTGTGAAACACAAGTAATTTATAATGAACACTCCAACATTCCAAAAAATAAGTATGGCCTATTTTGATGTCATGGTGACTTGAAGTAACGTGACCCGTGGTTTTTAAAAGATCTAGTTTTGTGAGTCACGACTTGAAACTGAACATCATAAAATCACAAAGAGACTGAATACTGACCATGCTGCCTCCATAACGATCATTGCGCCCTCGTCTTTCCCCACTGGAGGAAAAAGCAATACGACAATAAGCCAATATCACATCCTACTAAAACAAATACTGTTCCACAACACCAAGCCAACATGACTGATAACCAGAGAAAGCTTATAGATAAAGAACTTACTGCCGCCGTTCGTCCATGTGGCCACGCTGGGAGCTGTAGGAGTACTGATCATCACTGTAAAAATAAAGAGACATACAGCATCCATAAACGGTCAAGACAAATCTATTAACTAGCATCGACTCGTCTAGACTGCAAATCAGAGGGGAAAATTTGAGCAGAAGTTGTGTGGTCTATTCCAGCATTCATATTTAAATGTAGTAGACATCTATCAAAGTGTCTCACCCTCTCCTGTGGTGTGGGGGTCCCATGGGCATGCTCCGGTGAGGACGACTCCCTCCTCTTCCCCCTCTCTGGGAAGGAGGGGGGCCCCTGCGTGGGCTCATGTCATCATAGTCTCTCCTGTTTTGCATGTGGTGTCCGCCACGACCCCCGCTGGGGGGCATTCGATCAAAGCCTCCGCCGCTGCCACGCCCCCTTGAGGAGAAGCCGCCCATAGGCCGACGGCCCCGATCTTCATGCATTACACTGAAGCCGCCGTAGTCATACGTCTCATCGTAAAAGTTAGGGTCGTACTGCTGAGCTCGACCTTTAATGGGAGCCTGGAGAACCAGAGAGAGTTAATGAGAAACAGGTCTAATGACACCTGGACACACAGCACTGGCAAACTATTTCAATCTGACCTCCACAATGAGCTCCATCATGGTCTTAATGCACTGCACCACCCGCTCCGCTTTGCCCCCCACGAGCACCACGCGGTCAGTGGACTGAGGACAGCACTCCTGAAAGAGCTTGATGGTGGTCTGGGTGCTCTGGAAGAAAGAAAAAAAGATATCAGCACAGGAAACTCATATTCTATAGTTAAATTTCTCATCAATGTCTTACTTCACGAAGTTCCTTAATCTTAGCGCCCTTCACGCCAATGATGCTCCCAGCTAGACTCTGATGGATGAGCATCCTCAGTTCGCAGTCAAAGTCCACATCATGATGATGTTGATACTGCTCCAACCAATTAGAGAGGAGAATCCAATATGTCATTCAAATGTAATAATATATGCGCGCGCACACATTTACAGATACACTTTTTTTTTTGTTGAAAAATAAATATACATTGGTTGTGTTGTTTTATTTACTTTTTCTTTTTTTATGTATACGCTGGTCATATAAAAAAAAAAAAAAAAAAAAAGCTTAAATAAAAATTGGGTCTAAAAATGATAATTTTATATACAAGGAGTGTAATGGTTAATGTATTCATACTGAAAATTTTCGGTAGGGGTCTTTTGGAAGCATTGTTTTAACCACTGCACATGTAGAACTTCTCTGTGTGGAATATATTTTGAAAAAAAAAAACAATTGGGAAGAATATAATAATTACATTTTGAAAATAACATTTTTGAAAACATTTTATATATACAAAGCATTGTTTTAACCACTGCACATGTAGAACTTCTCTGTGTGGAATATATTTTGAAAAAAAAAACAATTGGGAAGAATATAATAATTACATTTTGAAAATAACATTTTTGAAAACATTTTATATATACATTTTTTTTATAAAATTAATCATTTTTAAAAGTCAAACTTCAATACTGAACAAACAATTGTAAAAAATAATTTTTGATGATTTGGGAAGAAAAAAAAAAATCTCACCTCTTCCAGAGTAGGTATGACCTTCAGCAATATCTCAGCCACCGTGGGAATATCTGCACTGACGCTTAGGATTCTGTCAAAGTAATGAATCGCATTCCGCGAGAGGAGAGAAGAGAACCGATATTAGACACACAAACAGAACCATCAGTGCTTTTGTTAGTGCATTTAACAGTGAGGCGAGGGAACAACAGACCCCAAAGAGAGTCATGGGGAGTGGAGAACACAGGAAAACAAAGAAAAACAAACTGAAGCTCCTTCCTGTTGCTGAAATGTCAAGATACAGGGAAGGTCAGATATGCAGCGTGACAGAGGGAGATTAAAACTGATAGAGGGGTGACAAAGTGCAGAGAGAGACAATGGCAGAGATGAACATGAATGAAGCAGGAGCTCCAGATCCAGCAGAGAAGAGCAGAGACAGATGAACAGACCGGGAGTGGAGTAAAGTTCAAAAGTCAAACAATACAACGGACAAAAGGGAGAAATGTAATTTGCACTGCCCCTTCACCCTCAATAAATTCAGCCTTGTATTAGCAAGAAACCTTAAAAATGAGAACTGTGGAGGAAGGACATTTCCCAAAGGTACACAAAAAGCTACTTCAGAGAATGTTTCTGTCGTAGGAGAGGGGAAAAGGGTGGGAAAGGGCCTCCTTGCATGACAGAAAAGGCATTTGAACACAGTAAAACAGTTAATAATGATAGTCATGGCAGCATCATACTCATGTTTCATGGCAGTAAGGGAGTAGTTTGTACATTAAGGATGTTAAAACAGTTCTGATATTGGCAATAACAGAGCTGATATGACTTGGAGGTTGGAGTATCTGAGTGGCACGTACCGCTCGGGCCCACTGCTGTCTGGGACTGACACAGTGGCATTGTACTGCAGGGGGCGGGGCCAAGCACCCAGAGCAATCAAGCACACGGATGTCAATCAAGTAAGCCGCCCAATAGGAAGGGCGCGATTATGGGTGTGGCCAACCAGGGAGTCAGGAGGTCAGGCGGCAACGCAGGTGGGCGGTACGAGTCGATCCGGAATATGGGAATTGGCCAAAAATGAACAGAAAAATAAAAACAAGGAAAAGGGGAGAGGGAGTGGAAAAGGAATACATTTTTTAATTGGAAACACTTTCAGTGTGACTTTCAATTCTCATAATGTTGGAGGAGAATGGAGAACAGGAGAGGAACAGAGATTATGAGAATATATACTAGGCCAAATACTACTTCAGCCAGTATCATAGAAACAGTAGAATGTGGGGTATTTATGACACAAAGCACTGCTTTTGTAACACAAACTGCCTTGGTTCCACAAAATCTATTTTTTTCTTTGGACTGAGATGATGTGTTTAAAGTGTTCTGTTGGTTTTAATACATATCTTAAAATATAACCCAGTTCTAGACATGTGAGCTCCACCTACCACAGTTTGTGTTGCATGGAAATAGTGAGAATGTGCAAACTAAACAGAAGAGTACTCACATCTGTGCGCAGGGCTTTAATATTCTTCCCACCCTTTCCGATCACTGCGCCGGCATTCTGGAGAGAAGAGCCAGTCAGCAATAGGATTGAGGTACAGCAACTCAAAAGTGACGGGAAAATCAGCGACTTACTTTGCTCTGTAGCAGAATTCTGAGCTCCACCATGTCGTCAGAGTTTCGGGATCGCTTATGAGGCTGCTCCTCCTCCGTATCCTCAGCAGAACGCTTACCTGAAACAACATTCATAATACATTGATTTAGTGCTGGGAAGTATGACCAAAAATGTATATCACGGTATTTTTCAAAATTATACCGGTTTCACGGTACATGACCGTATTTATTTCATGCATGACCGGGTGTTAACCATATTTTCTACTGATTGAGAGAGGAAATACTGCAGTATATTGACTTAGAATGCCCTATTTTACTGTCATGATGAGTGAATAGTGTCAAAAAATACAACACTATATAGTGACTAAACACAACCCCTTTTAATACATGTTATCCAGGAGTCACTCTCATTTATAATCGCGGCATCGTCTGATAAAATCAACATGCATCTACACTAAAGAGCGGCTATGCGGTTGTTTTGGCTATATTACTCTTTTGTCTCATGCAGCGCACTGCCTGCGTCTGAGTGATTAAAAAAACAACAAACAAAAAAGTGCATGTGATATTAACAGACGAACTACGCTCATATTTATAATTCCAAACAATCAGTAGGCGACAGGTGCTAGGAAACGCTGTTTTGTACTCATTTATTGAGGAGTCGGCTGCGGTGCTTCTCTGCCGCTCGCTGCACAGAACAGACGCCGAGAGAGGTGACACTTCTCCGGGAAAGTCAGACCTCGCGTTCGCGGGACAGCACTGGCGAAATCTTCCAACTGAACCATAGCTAAGGTTTATCCAAAAAAGTCGCTAGGTTTGTCAGTATGAATATTCTATGGAGCCGCTAAAAGGGTCTGAAAGTTGCTCAATCTAGTGCTAAAGGGAGCTGATGGCAGCGGGCGGTGGATATTTGTGGCGGTCAGTGTGGATATTGTGGATGAGTTCTTCTGTGTCATCACGTTCTATTAGTTCTACAGCTTCAGTTTCTGAACTTTCACGCTTAGTAACACATACAGCTGTTCCCTCACCACAGTGCAACAGTGAAAAGGGACCCCTTTCAAACAGTGTCACGTTCCCAACGTTGTTTAAGCGACATACACCGGTATTTTAAACAAAATAAACACCGGTATTCGGTATGAACCGGTATACCGCCCAGCACTACATTGATTTATATTACAAGCTATCAGAATTTCATCTTAATTTGTGGCCATAAATATACCTGCATCTGCACCGAATTGCACATTTGAATAAAATCACTGTTTTTTTTTTCCAAAAAATCATACATTACAAAAAAAATAAAATGTCCAACTATTATTTCATATGTCAGACTTTACAGGGTTAAACAAGATACTGCACGAAAAAAAGTATAGTTGGATTTTATCCAGTAGGAAGTGAAAACCGAGCAAGGACATATGGACATATATACACACACACACACACACATATATATATATTTTTTTTTTTTGGAAAAAGCATGCACAATAACATTCATCACATTGGTTCAATTTTCATTTCATTAAAAATTAAAAGAATGAAAGAAAGAATGAAAGAAATAGAAATCACTGGACCTTACCATTACTCTCTTTGAAAGTCTCCTCCTCCTGTGGGTCACTTTCTGGCTCCATGATCTATCTACAACAAGCGGAGATGAACAGCCCTCTCGGTCCAAACGGATATCTAAGGGGAAAAAAGCAAACAGTGCATGAATGAATACATTATATGACCTGACAGGATGCCAGTTCCAACCTTGTGTGTATAATGATTTTAGTGATCTTATCATAATGAACAGTGCTCTTTGTCTACTGAGCATGACTGGGGCAAAACACAGGAGGAGGAAGGATTAAAGCGACTATATCATGAGTTACAAAACAAAAGAAGAACTGAAACTACATGTTCTGGTAGTTGTTCTCACAGTAGTTGCAAGAACATTCAAAATTAAGCTCAATGTATTTACTGGCTGGTAAAGTACTGGCAGGCAAGCCTCTATTGCGCTGCCTAGCGTTACCCAGACAGCACAGCGCAGCGCATATGAGTGTCCAAACGCGCACACTGTTCGCCAGATAGCAAGCTCGCTGTGTTTGATTACGGTAACATTAATTCGTTAGTCGCCATCTTCCTGTAACGTTACTGGATCTGCTGCCAGACTGGCTAATTAACAATGGACGCTTTCAGCAAGCTAACGAGCTAGCTAACTACCATAAAGTACGTTTGTTTGTTTTGCACCAAACTAGACTCATGTAAGTTATATTACGCTCGCGGTAAAAAAAAAAAAAAAAATAGTAATACAATAAATACAAAAATAAAAGCCAGACGAGGGCTAGCAACTGTGGAAATGACTTGGTTGCTAGCTTCCTCTAGCTAACAGAGATGAAGCTAGCTAACGGCTCTAGCAAGAAAACATAGCGCAAATTGCGACCGTGTGCACGAAAAGTACCTCAACGATTTAGGATTGTGAACTTGTCTGACACTGGGATATACTGGTTAATTGCGTAGAAACACTGATAAGGTGGTTTTTGTGTCAGGAAATGCCTCTACCGACCTGCTCCTGTCGTCCTCCCCCTTCGCAAGCTACGACAGTGGCGCACAGAATCAGCGCGGACCAATGAAAGCGCCGCCCTCCACAAAGGAAACGCGCTCTGATTGGTCCAAACCGCAGCAGGACCGGGACTCCAGAAGTGTCACGGACAATCATTGGTCCAAAGAAACGTCAATCTTTTAAGAACACTTTTTAGGATTAGCTAGCACGGCTTTTGATGTGTCGCAAAGCGCTTCTTTTTTTGGCACGAGGCATCTGAGATGTTTTTGAAGTATTAATATCAGTAAAGTAGTCAGGAGAAGCCCTGTAGTGTAGGTTATGACTCCAGTACACTCATTAGAGCGCAGTGGCCTTCTCACATTAGGCTGCATGCGGAGAGATTTTCTGGTAAGGATGAGTTATTAGTTTTAGTTACTGTAATTTAATTACTTTTCCAATGAAAAAAGTAAAGTAAGGGATTACTCTTAATTTTTCTGTAATTTAATTGCATTAAAAACTACAGAATTTAGACATGCTACGTAAAGCAATGGTGTACTTAACATCAAAAATGTAACATCTAATATTAAAATGTATGTTTTTAATGTTAGATTCCCCCTTTAAATACTTTGGTCTGTTTATGTACTAGTACTAGTACACTGTTAAATATGTAAGTAGTAGTAGCTAGTAATTAATTACTTTTTTAGAGTATTTTACCAAATACTGGTAAATAGTATAGTGTAGTGTAGTAAGTTGCAAATTGTATAGTATGTCTTTTCTTTGAAAAAGTATAACAATTGTTTTTAATGATCACTATTATATACATATTGCAACAAAGTTAATAAGTAGCATTGCATAATGGGATGTGACAATGTTTCAGCGTTAATAGATATAACTGTTATATGGCACAGCATGTTACGTTTTAAGAATGATTTGTTTGTAATAGTTTGTGTTTCGGGTAGCTCACTAACCTGAGTGAGAGCACATGATACATCACATCTATTTATTGTCTGCATTTACATCTGCAATATGTCTTGAAGATTGTTTGGTTGTTTCAGAATGTGTGTAAATCTGCTTTTTCGAACTGACGTTTATCAGATGTTTTTACACAGCAGATGTTGAAGAGCTCTTAGAGATGTACCTGTGCAAGCTGGGTAATAGCTAACGTTCTGTAATAATGCTTTTGCATAAATTAGGTTTTTATGATTAACAGTTATATATATATATATATACACACTGCCGTTCAAAAGTTTGGGATCACTAAGATTTGTAATGTGTTTAGAAGTCTCTTAATAATATTACCATTTAAAATAATGGTTTTCTATTTCAATATACTTTAAAATGTAATTTATTCCTGCTATGCAAAGCTGAATTCTCAGCATCATTACTGCAGTCTTCAGAGTAACATGATCCTTCAGAAATCAGTATAATATGCTGATTTATTATCAATATTGGGAACAGTTTTGTTGTTTGTCTTTGCAATATTGATAATAAATCAGCATATTAGAATGATTTCTGAAGGATCATGTATAAATGTACAAATAAATGCAGCCACGATAAGCATGAGACTTATTTAAAACATATAAAAAAATCGTACTGATCCCAAACTTTTGAATAGCAGTGCTTATATGTACAGTGGGTACGGAAAGTATTCAGACCCCCTTACATTTTTCACTCCACATTTTTTTTGAAAGAAAGCACTTGAACTACATCAGGAGAGAAAACTGATACAAATGTAATCTGTATATATATATATATATATATATATATATAATTTACCAACTTAATAATTGGATGCTGTAGCCTTAGATTTGAAAGTTAAAAAAATGTAATTAGTTTAAAAAGTCTTTACTTAATTCTTAAATCTTTAATACGCATTTGCCTCTGTCTGTGTTTATGAAGCTCTAGTGTTCGGGACAGTGAGAGGATGTCAGTGGGTGAAGTTCAGGTTACCCAGGCATGGCTGCGTTCTCAATGGCACATCCAGGTCCCTCACACTTGGCTGGACGCTTGCGTGAACTGGATAAAGGAGGAAGCGGTTAGCGCATCCGTGCCTCAGTCGCTGCTCAATCAGCGCATCCTGGAACAATGGCTAGTGTCTGACCTGCGAGATCTGTCCCACCCGGTGCTCCCCAAAAGAATATCCGAGGCACAGAAAACAGAACTAAACAGCTGTTACTGTCTTCAGATGGACTCCCTGCTAGACGTCAACCAGCCTGCCTACACTCAGCTGCAGCGTATTCGGGGCACCAACTGCTCCAATGATCAAGTCTCGGCGGTTACGCTGGAAACGCAGCGGCCGTGGGAGGCCAAGCCCACACGTATGTTGATGTTGCAGCTCATGGATGGAGTGCAGAGTCTGGAGGGTATGGAATACCGGCCTATCCCGGCTTTAAGCACCAACCTGCCACCCGGGACGAAGCTACAGCTAGTCGGTCCAATCGGCGTCTGTCTCGGGGTGTTGCTCTTGAAAGCGGAGAACGTGAAGGTGTTGGGTGGGGAGGTGGAACAGCTCTTGGAGATTTACTCTCAGAGCAGAGTGCTTTGCGGGACACTCGGTTTGCCTGAGGAGAACCATCCACAAGGCGAGGAACCGGATGACCAGGAGCTCCTGGCCAGCGTAGGGGCTCCAGTAGATCATCAGGTAGCTGACAGCGGCTACAACAGCATGGCTTCAGAAACTTCCTTCAGACCATATCAGTCGCAACCCCGTCCTCAAGCGACGCCCGTTTCCAGAGAAGACGACTGGGATATGGATGAAATTCCAGATGACGACTTCAGAGGTATTCCAGATTATTTTGATGATGTTCCACAAAATGTGGTGGACGAGGACTTTGATGACATCCCTTTAGAGGAGCTGGACAGTGTGATGCTGGACAACCCGATAGATTCAGAAGTCATGCCAAGCAGGCGGGAACACTCTGAAATCAAGCACCCTGATGTAATCCAGCCCAATACCGAAGAACCAAGCCTTCTAAGTTTTCGCTCCGTAACTATGCTTAACAGCAGAAGCTTAAATTAAGTTCCTGTTGCAAACGTAGAGGAACCTGATGCAAACTTCCCCAACCGACACAAAACTGCAGAACCAAGGCAGACGTTTCGCTCTAGAAATCTGCTTAGCAACACCAACCAAAGCAGAACCTTAAATGAAGTTCCTCACACATCTGTTACAAGTTCCTCTACACAAACAGCTGGATCTTCTGGTTGCGAACGAGATGCGCCTACACCACCGTACCTCTGCATGCTACAGGCTGGCCACTGGCCGCCCGCCAAAGTTCAGGTTTTACGACTACAAGCTTTCATCGTGACGCTAGTAGGAAATTTGCGCAGTAGTAGGGGCGTGTGGCAACTCGGGGCCACCATCTCTGACGGAACCGGGTACTTGGATGTGGATCTGTCCGACGCCATGCTCACCAAACTCATCGGCTACACGGCAGCAGAGGCTCGAGTGCTGCGGAAAGACCCGGCGAGACGCGGTGAGGTGGACAGCGGGATTCAGCTCACTGTAAACCACGGCTTCACGGGGCTTATTGCTTTTATAAAACGGTTATTTCATATACGTAGTACGGTTGCACAGAATAAAACAGAGCAAATAAAGTGTACTGATATTAATATAAACTGTATTCTTCCACCAAACAATGTAGTTCCTCAGAAACAGTTGTGTTAGGACAAAGTGGCTGCCGAGCAACAGACAGACGTAAACAAAGGTGTGTGTTTGTAGAGTAATTTACAACAGCTTCGAAAGCAGCTCGACCAATCAGAATCAAGAACCGGAACTCTCCGCTTTATAAGTTAAATTTTAACATGTTTTTTTCTTAGAGAAATAATACCTCTCCTCAAGTAATCTGTATAATATGAAGTAGTACTTTACCGAGTATAGTGGAAACAGGGTGCAGTTGGACATCTTTATATATATATATAAAGACGTCTGTGCGTGTCTGTGTGTGTCTGTGTCTCTGTGTGTGTGTGTCTGTGTGTGTGTCTCTGTGTCTGTGTCTCTGTGTGTGTGTGTCTGTGTGTGTGTCTCTGTGTCTGTGTCTCTGTGTGTGTGTGTCTGTGTGTGTGTCTCTGTGTCTGTGTCTCTGTGTGTGTGTGTCTGTGTGTGTGTCTCTGTGTCTGTGTCTCTGTGTGTGTGTGTCTGTGTGTGTGTCTCTGTGTCTGTGTCTCTGTGTGTGTGTGTCTGTGTGTGTGTCTCTGTGTCTGTGTCTCTGTGTGTGTGTGTGTGTTTGTGTGTGTCTGTGTCTCTGTGTGTGTGTGTTTGTGTGTGTCTGTGTCTGAGGGCTTTCATAATGAAGTAACCCTTGTCTCATGTAATATCACACTCCATCAGTTCAACTAAAGCATACAGTAGACTTGGCCTTAATCATAGAGATGCTATAGCTTGATCTTTGTGGTCCTGGCCTAAAAACACCTGAGTGTCATTAACTGAGTGCACCATAAATTGCCCCTTCAGAGACCCCCACTCCCACGCTCATCTAATACAACACTGATTTCTATTCCCGGGTATTGCTCATTGCGTGACCCGGTAACGGGTTGAGAAAGCTGCTAAGCAGCGACTCGTTTTATCGACTCGAATCGGTTCAGGACGAGTCGTTCACTCACCCCAGGTGTTGACAAGTGAGTGGCCTTTTGTGCTACCAGCAACTCATCATTCGATTCATCAGAAATTACTTGCCGTGTGACCAAAACAAATCTCAAGATCCTTTATTAAAATTTGACGTCTACAAATCAACTATTTTCTGCTCGCCGACAGTGAAATGGATATGTCACCCCCAAAAAAATTTTTTTTAGCCTAACCTTCTGCTGAAAACAAAAGAAGATATTTTGAAGAATGTGTGAAACCAAACAGTTGCCGGTAGCCATTGACTTCCACAGAGTTTGTTTGTTTCATACTTATATGGAAGTCAATGGCTACCGGCAACTGTTTGAAACAACGAGGACGAGTAACTGATGACAGCATATCCATTTTGGGGTGAACTATCCCTTTAAGAAGAATTAATAAATGAATAAATTCATGTATTTATTTATTTATTTCAATCAGACTTTAAAGATCTGGAGCATTTAAAACTGCATACAGCCAATCAGATCAAGATATTAATAATAACAATAATACAGTTAGTAGCCTAAATAAAAATCCATAATGATTTCCATTAACACTCTTGCGTCATTTTAATTGTTTGGTCGTTGTTGTTGTTTTTTTTCTTCATAATTCTCCACCCCCTTTCTATTAATTTCCTTGATGTGAATCAGACTGAGAGAGAGTCGAGAATGAGTCAATTCGAGAACAATTCGTTCATTTAAAGATTCATGCACAAATGAATCATTCACGAACGAAACCCAACTGCTGTGTGTGAGCTACATCTGTCAAGCTCTGCGCTAATTAGCGACTGTCATCATTACCATAATCTGCGCAACATGCCTGAAAGGAGAAGAAACATGCATTGACTTCTATATGCGCAATGCATTCGCCTTAAGCTCTTAAATCCTGATCGGTGTAAGGATGCTACACGCTGTCAATAATGAGTGAAGTGTCTGAATGATCTCCTCTTCTCGTCTCCTCCCCTCAGATGCGCTGCGCATCATCCAGCGCCCGCGCTCTCTCACTCCAGCACTCGCGTCTCTCAGGAGCGCGTCTTAATTCCGTCCTTATCTATGGCAAGCTAAAGTATTCATATACGCCTGGGCGGGCGTCTGATTGCACACTGACCCGTCAAAAGCGTGCGATTTGCCATAAAACGCGCGTTCTTAACGTGCGCTTTGGGGTCACGGAAAAGCTCACCGGACGCGTCATTTAACGCCAGCGTCTCGGTCATTCAGTCTAGGCAGAGCGAGGCATACGGAGACAAGAAGAGGAGCACGGACGCTTCACGCAGACAGACGCGCGAGACAAGGTCGGCGGTGCGTTACGAGCCGTTCTGCGACGCTCCAGACGCGCGTGTTCTGCGCTCTCTCCACGGGTTGGATTCCAGGGGTCTTAAATCTGGAGGCGGGGACCCGGGGATGAGCCTGCTGTCGGGGGGCTTCGGCATGGCGGGCTGGGGGTCCTGTTGGGTTCTGATGCTGCTCGCGCTCTGGAGGCCCGGTGCCGCTTGTCCGGAGCTCTGCACGTGCACTGGCGTGCGGATCTCGTGCGTGGATGCGGAGCGCAGCATTATGGCTTTTCCCATGCTGCAGTCCGAGGCAGAGATGGAGAATATCACAGAGATGTAAGTTATAAAGAAGAGGCCACAGAAGATGATGCATGTTGTGTCATTCAGTCAATTGCGTGCGTGCGTAATTGTTTGATTTCTATGATTTATCCGGGTTTTATTGTACTTGGAATTATTGTGCCGAAGTCATTTTATGAGTACACTGTATTATTACTCGGTTATATCTGCTGTTGACTGTTTTACACAAATGTTTTAAAACATAATATGAATCACTATGTCAGTTTGATTGACTTTAATTAGGTTTAGTAGTATTTTGAAATTAGTTGCTGTTTAAATCACACTAGAAGTGCATTTGTTTGAATTTAGGCCAGCGGAATGGGAATTTTTTTTTATATTTCTACCTTTAAAAAAATATTGCATTTATTAGAAATGATTTAGAGTTTTTACTACTCACCATAGATCAGTTAATGAATTAATTGAGTTAAAAGATTATTGTAAATTTTTTATTTTTTCAGTTAGATGCCAAGGCAACATTTCTAATTCTAAAAAAGTTTTTTCCAGCCTCATTTCGGTTACTGAAAACATATTTTTAATATTAGTTTAAGTTACAAAGTTTTAGTTAACAATACCAACACTGTTCTTTATTAAAATACATTTAATCCATCGAAACTAATTGTCAGCTTGATGCATTTCTTTGGTGAAGCAACTGAATGGAAAGAATGAACTAAAACAATCTACTATGGCCTACTAAGGAAACGTGTTATTGTTTTATTCAGAGCAGAGGTCATCTAATATTTAATACTGAAATGTAGGTTTGTTTGTTTGGTAAGATGTGATTTTTCCAGGCTGTAGTTTTATGACTGCGGCTTGAGACGTGGATAATTATTGACCCAAAGATCAGCCTCCAGCCAGGCCTATTTTAAGCAATACCACAGCAGAAGACCCTCGAGGGAGGAAGAGAGGACAAGAGAGCGAGGGAGGAAAAGGGAAAAATAGAGACAGACGGGGGGATCCCCTGAATGCAAAAACACTGAGACATTTAGCACTGAGTGTCTGCTGGCCTGTGGCCAAATGCTGCCTTTCTTTTCCATTTTTTTTTTTTGTGCAATGAAAGAAAACAAGCTGCTCCAGTGAATTGTTCCAGTTTACCACTTTTGGAACATCTAGAGGGCCAAATGTACATGAGAGATTTTCTGCCAGTGCAGTTTAAATTAGAAAAGGAAAGTTTGGACTTGTTGACGTTTAATCCCAAAAATCATTTACTCATGCTCATGTCATTCCAAACCTGTATGACTTTCTCTTTTCTGCGAAAAACAAAAGAAGATACTCCGAAATTCTATTTCACACACACACACACACACACAGGTTTGTTTTTATGGTTTATGGGGACTCTCCATAGGCGTAATGGTTTTTATACTGTACAAACCGTATATTCTATTGCCCTACACCAACCCTACCCCTAAACCTACCCCTCACAGGAAACTTTCTGCATTTTTAGATTTTCAAAAAAACTCATCCTGAATTATAAGCATTTTGAATTACGGGGACACTGAAAATGTCCTCCTAAATCACCTTCTCCTTGTAATACCTATGTCATACCCATGTTATTATACAAATTTGTGTCCTCATAAACACACACACACACACACACATACACACACACACATATACAGTGGGTACGGAAAGTATTCAGACCCCCTTAAATTTTTCACTCTTTGTTATATTGCAGCCATTTGCTAAAATAATTTAAGTTAATTTTGTTTCCTCATTAATGTACACACAGTACCCCATATTGACAGAAAAACACAGAATTGTTGACATTTTTGCAGATTTATTAAAAAAGAAAAACTGAAATATCACATGGTCCTAAGTATTCAGACCCTTTGCTGTGACACTCATATATTTAACTCAGGTGCTGTCCATTTCTTCTGATCATCCTTGAGATGGTTCCACACCTTCATTTGAGTCCAGCTGTGTGTGATTATACTGATTGGACTTGATTAGCAAAGCCACACACCTGTCTATATAAGACATTAC